GTTAAGTTTTTAAAAAGAATCTATTTATATTTGGCACACAAAGCATTTTCTTTTTGAATATTCGACTCTTATGAAAAGCAAATTTACCAAAAAGAAAGGAGCGAGTGTTCTTATTTTAGAAACACCTTTTATCTCCTCTTCCAATCAAGTAGCTAATCATCTTTATTTACAGGTGATCTCTCAGAGATAGAAGAACAGTTCCATATAAAAGGTATATATTAGATGCAGGTTCTAGTGACTCCTCCGTGGAGTATACGGTCGTGGTTTCTGTTTTTACGAATGGAGTTACTAATCAAACGCCCAATTCACTTTGAATTCAGAGTTTTCATTCTCCTAAAGTGGTTGCTAACGGAGGCCAAAGATTCCACCTGGGTGGGAGAGAAGATAGAACCATACGTTCCAAGTTGTGCAAATGTGAACGCAACAGTATCAGTTAATATTTGAAGCTTAGTCTGTCATTTATGTAATAGAGTGGCAAGTGATTGGCCTATAGTTTTTAATTCAGACAACTTTTAAACAGTTTTTAATTTGGACAGCTATTAATTTAGACAGCTTTTAATTTAGATCACTTTTAGACAGTTATTAATTTAGACAGTTTTTTGACAGCTTTTAATTTAGACAACTTTTAAACAGCGTTTAATTTAGACACCTTTTAATTTCGACAGCTTTTAATTTAGACAGATTTTCATTTAGACAGATTTTAGGTAGATTTTAATTAAGCTTTTAATTTAGACATTTTTTTAATTTAGACATTTTAAAATTAGACAGCTTTTGATTTAGAAAACTTTTAAACAACTTTTAATTTAGACAGCTATTAATTTAGACAGCTTTTAATTTAGAGAACATTTAATTTACACATTTTAAAATTAGACTGCTTTTAATTTAGACAGTTTTAGACAACTTTAAACTTAAACAACTTTTAAACAGCTTTTAATTTGGACAGCTATTAATTTAGACACCTTTTAATTTAGACAGTTTTTAGACAGTTTGCAATTTAGACAGCGTTTACTTTAGATAACATTTACGCAGCTTTTTATTTCGACAGATTTTAATTTATACAGGTTTTAGACAGCTTTTAATTTAGACAGCTTCTCATTTAGACAACTTTTAGACGCCTTTTCATTTAGACAACTTTTGGGCAAAAATAATTTAGACAGATTTTAGGCAGTTTTTTATTTAGACAGCTTTTAATTTAAACAGCTTTTTAATTTAGACACTTTCCAGTATTTGTAATATATTCTTATTGATTAAAATTGTTTAACGGTCTACTAAGATCTGAAATATACTATCAGGGAAATTATAGCGATGTTTGAAGTGACGATAAATTGCACTCTGTTGAGAAGGTAATTCGGCGAGAAAAACACGTGGTAGCAAGACCAATGTGCATGTTTTTTTTTTACTAAGTGATTGATTCATTAAATATTTTCCAATAGTCTTAATCAAGGATCTGCAAGTTATATCATTCTAAACCTCTTCCCCGATGATGACCGATGGAACAGTTGAACGTACTGGGATACACCTTTCTTCCTAGTTTAACTATAGATTGTTTATTCGCAACTTTCCTTAATTGATTCGCGAAAAAGTTGCCGAAGAGTACATTTTCTTTCAGTTTTTTTTCTTGAGTGCGCAGGGCAGTAGACCTTATACACACTGTTTAAAATTAAGAAAAACACTGGTATCCATTAAAAAAAGTTTGAAATAATAATAATGACAGCTTAAAAATAAATCCATTAACTTTTCAGAAATATACATATATATATATATTTCTGATATATATATATATATATAAATAAAGACACACACATATATATGTATATATTTGTACATATTTGTATATATATATATATATTTGTGTGTTTATGTATATATATAATGATAATTATTAATATTAGCAATTAATATACGCAAAATTATATAATTAGCGATAATTAACAGTTTTGAAAGAATCGATAATTGCACCCTCAAGAAATTTTTGTTAGTTAATTTTGAAGTTAACTTCTCTTTTAATAATTATAGAATTCTTAAGATAGAAGTTGTGGTTGAAATTGCTATCCATACATATCTCTCTCTCTTTCTCCCCCCTCTCTCTCTCTCTCTCTCTCTCTGTCTCAGTTTAAATATACTTTGGGAGATTGTATCTCTCACAAAACATGTAAGTACATATGTTGACGACAACATTAACAAGACGTCTTACCCTTACTTTGTCGGATAAATGTTCTATCGCACAAAATATTCCTGTCCACTTCCACAATACAAGAAAATACTTGTTAACAACACCAATATACTAAGAAAATAATGAACAAAATCTTCAATTTCTCGGGGCCCTCTATAATCAAAATCAACCAACAAACACTCAACAAAATTTATTACGAGTGTAGTTGCAAAGTTTTAAATTGCATTTGACCAACATTTAATGCCATTTTGTATCTTCACCATCTCTGGTTAGATCCCTTATATTGTGGACGCTTACAAAAGTAACATAACTACAACGGATAAAATTAATATATATATATATATATATATTAACTTTTTTTTGACTGTGTGTGTTTTTGCTTTCCTTGCTGACAATGTGTAAATGTTCTCAGCATATATTTATAGAAAAAAAATAAACAAAAAAAAAAACACAGTAAAAAAAATAAAAGAAAACAGTTACTAATATCCAAAAAGAAAGTTTTAAAAAGTTTTAAAATTTTGCAATTTCGTGTACCATGCACTATTTTTTTGTTTTTCATTAACTGCCTTGATAAAATCGGATAACGAAACATGTCAGCAAAAAACTAAAAAAAAAAAAAAAACAAAAAAAACCCTGTTTTCCTATTTTCATTTTATTCAAATTTGACTTTTCTATAGATATATTCTGAGAACTTTTACACACACACACACACACACACACACACACATATATATATATATATATATATATATATATATATATATATATATATATATACGTTTCATTGAATGTTACCATGAGAAAACACTGTCATTCTAAGAAGATCTAAAAAGATAGTTCAACCAAAACAGAAGTACTTTATATAAAGCGGTTTAAGCCATGTTTCAAAGTTACCTTTCAAACTAAGTGAAACGTGTCAGCAGTGGTTTAAAAGCACTATAAAACGGAATTACTACTACTACTATTCCTATCCAGCATGACTGGGAATTACTACTAATTCTCCACAGTACATATACGTGGAAGTATACGGTACACACACACATATATATATATGTGTCTGTATTTCTGAAATGAGGTATTATGTACATTATTTACATTATTCGGACTATTGTCCTCATCTTTGTCGCCATATTTATCACAACGTTTCGGCCGTTGTATGCTCCGGCCTTCTTCAGGTAGTTAGAATGTCGAACTGAACCCTTTATTTCGCTCACTGGGGTAGACTGTTCTAGTTCCACGTGCCATGCTTGATGGATCTCAGTTATCAGTTATCTCCTGTTAATTTCCCTCTGAAAGTTCTCCACTGCCTTAACCGGGTATTGAACTCACACTCTTTGGGTCCTGTCACTGGATCTAACCAATGCCTTTATCCACTGTGCCATGTGTCCTTGGCGATTTGTTAATTTGTACATTTATTTATAATTAAATAAAAAACAAAACATTAATACATTACTATATATATAATACAAAAATATAATAAAACTAAGCTAAAACTTGAAAGAGGAACTTATTTTATCACCTGTAATGATCGTTGGATGGAAGAACGTAGGAGAATACTCTAGGGATTTGAATAAGATAACCCACCCTCCAACCTCTCCCTTACAGGCGGAATGAAGCGAGTCGCTCACTGCTCTGTAGCTACTACCATAGTGCTCGGACGAACTGCATTCGTTGGTTCCGCTCGGTCTAACCTTCACGGCTAGTGCCCACCATTCCACTTACATTGCAGCACACCACCCACATTCCCTGCGTGTTCCACTCGAACAGCCTCTTCCCGTAAACCACTGTTCTGTGGAACAGATTCCCAAGAGGATGTTTCCCCGATCGCTACAATCTTAACCTGTTCAAGTCTAGAGTTAACTGTTATCTTCTCCTCCTATCCGTATAAACTACACCTTAACGTAACCCTCTATCTCGAGTTACCCCCCACCCGGGCCTTGTCCACGATGAACCTTACTGTAAGAAAAAATTATATGACGTCAAAAGAGATGTTTTACAAAAGAGCACACTGTCGATTACCGTATTGAGTATGAATATAATTTCGTTTCAAAAAATGCTGCTATAATAAAAAGCAATTTACTTTGGCGAAAGTATATAGAATGTGCTCTGATTGCTGGACCATCCAGGTTCTGACAACATTTCACTTGCTAGATCTAAATTAATTCATATTGTGATCGTATCGGAATCTATACTGCAAGGCGGACGTCTGCTAAATTAAAAAGAGTATGATGTGTCAAAATAGATTTGGCAGTTTTCTTGGAATTGATGGAGGAAAAAATAGAAAAATCTAAAATTAACTAAACGAATATCGTTAATAAACACAGACATTTCTGCAATAAATAAAACGGCACATAAAATGAATAAAATTACTGCCATTGTTTATTTCTTCTTCTTTTTCTCTTATTATTTTCCTTTCTAATTTGGTTTCTTTATAAATAAAATTCATTCCTCTTTTCTCGTTTACAAAACAAGAGAAAACTGTGACTTGGGGGGAAATTTTTTTTTCCCTCGAATATTTGACATTTTCGTAATTACATTTTGGTTTGACATTCTTTGGGAAAGCCGGCATTTTTTAGAGAAGTTTTAGTATTTTTAAATATTTGCAAAGCTTAAGACGTTCTAAATAAGATTGCACTCCAAGATTCCATTCCAAGGCTCAAGAACCACCCAAGGTAGACTTATATATGAGCACAAGAAAAAGGCAAAAACCGCAGTTCTTTAAGATAAAGGTTCACCATCAGTTTGGTGGAAGAATTGTAATAGTAAGAACAAAATTCCATTCGAACGGTTTCTTCCCAAGAACTGCTTTTTTTTGTGGCATAGACTC